CGATCGTCAAAATCAGCTGCAAATTTTCCAACATGCTCGATAAAAAAAAATTTGCAAAAAGCCCGAAATACGGCCGACCATTTAACCCACTAACGGTGCGAAAATCGGCTGATTTTCAACCCGTCTATGGCCCCCATTACTCAGCAACGATCAGTTAAAGCCTTGTCATCATTGTTCTATAGAACTCTATGACCCGGCTTCACATGTGACCCGCTTTGCATCGCCGTGTCCTACAAGGGTTTAGATATTCTGTTTTTCTTTTATTATATCTTTATAATCTGATGTGACATAAACTTCATGGCTGATCCCCCGCCCCCCCCCCCCCCCCCCAGAGTGCTCCACATTCAGGACTCATCCATCTAGTAATACTGGGTGTGGTCACTGACCATCTGATCCCCCAACTCCCTGCTGTCCTGATGTCAACCAGCCATGATGAAAGTGAGAACACATCCCCATCTGGAAAGTCGATCCCCTCCCCCGCCTTCCTCCCCCCACACATGTGGATTGCATTACGTGATAATAATGAGGCAATTTCTGCAGCCACAGATAAGATGGCTCATGAACCAGGATGGAGTCAGCTGTGCTGTGCAAGACAATAGTGCAGGGATGGACAACTTTCCTCATAGAGGGGACCTCAAGTGTGGCCCCTAAAATCACCAAGGGGCCACACATATTGTTCAGTCAATGCAATACTACAAACAGCTGTCAGAAATGGCAGACATGCTGCAGGAGGTCAGAGACTACGAGCGTGCTGCAGGAGGTCAGAGACTACGAGCGTGCTGCAGGAGATGGTCAGAGACTACGAGCGTGCTGCGGGAGATGGTCAGAGACTACGAGCGTGCTGCAGGAGATGGTCAGAGACTACGAGCGTGCTGCAGGAGATGGTCAGAGACTACGGGCGTGCTGCAGGAGATGGTCAGAGACTACGAGTGTGCTGCAGGAGATGGTCAGAGACTACGAGCGTGCTGCAGGAGATGGTCAGAGACTACGAGCGTGCTGCGGGAGATGGCTAGAGACTATGAGCATGCTGCAGGAGAAGGTCAGAGACTATGAGCATGATGCAGGAGAACGTCAGAGACTATAGGCATGCTGCAGGAGAAGGTCAGAGACTAGGAGCATGCTGCAGAAGGTCAGAGACTACGAGCGTGCTGCAGGAGAAGGTCAGAGACTACGAGCGTGCTGCAGGAGGGGGTCAGAGACTATGAGCATGCTGCAGGAGAAGGTCAGAGACTATGAGCATGCTGCAGGAGAACATCAGAGACTATAGGCATGCTGCGGGAGAGAAGGTCAGAGACTATGAGCGTGCTGCAGGAGAAGGTCAGAGACTACGAGCGTGCTGCAGGAGATGGTCAGAGACTACGAGCGTGCTGCGGGATAAGGTCAGAGACTACGTGCGTGCTGCAGGAGAAGGTCAGAGACTACGAGCGTGCTGCGGGAGATGGTCAGAGACTACGAGCGTGCTGCAGGAGATGGTCAGAGACTATGAGCGTGCTGCAGGAGATGGTCAGAGACTACGAGCGTGCTTCGGGAGATGGTCAGAGACTAGGAGCGTGCTGCGGGAGATGGTCAGAGACTACGAGCGTGCTGCGGGAGATGGTCAGAGACTATGAGCATGCTGCAGGAGGTCAGAGAATACGAGCATGCTGCGGGAGATGGTCAGAGACTACGAGCGTGGTGCAGGAGATGGTCAGAGACTACGAGCGTGCTGCAGGAGATGGTCAGAGACTACGAGCGTGCTGCAGGAGATGGTCAGAGACTACGAGCGTGCTGCAGGAGGTCAGAGACTACGAGCGTGCTGCAGGAGGTCAGAGAATACGAGCGTGCTGCAGGAGATGGTCAGAGACTACGAGCGTGCTGCAGGAGGTCAGAGACTACGAGCGTGCTGCAGGAGGTCAGAGAATACGAGCGTGCTGCAGGAGATGGTCAGAGACTACGAGCATGCTGCAGGAGGTCAGAGACTACGAGCGTGCTGCAGTAGATGGTCAGAGACTACGAGCGTGCTGCAGGAGGTCAGAGACTACGAGCGTGCTGCAGGAGATGGTCAGAGACTACGAGCGTGCTGCAGGAGGTCAGAGACTACGAGCGTGCTGCAGGAGGTCAGAGACTACGAGCGTGCTGCAGGAGGTCAGAGAATACGAGCGTGCTGCAGGAGATGGTCAGAGACTACGAGCATGCTGCAGGAGGTCAGAGACTACGAGCGTGCTGCAGTAGATGGTCAGAGACTACGAGCGTGCTGCAGGAGGTCAGAGACTACGAGCGTGCTGCAGGAGATGGTCAGAGACTACGAGCGTGCTGCAGGAGGTCAGAGAATACAAGCGTGTTGCAGGAGATGGTCAGAGACTACGAGCATGCTGCAGGAGGTCAGAGAATACGAGCGTGCTGCAGGAGATGGTCAGAGACTACGAGCGTGCTGCAGGAGATGGTCAGAGACTACGAGCGTGCTGCAGGAGGTCAGAGACTACGAGCGTGCTGCAGGAGGTCAGAGAATACGAGCGTGCTGCAGGAGATGGTCAGAGACTACGAGCGTGCTGCAGGAGGTCAGAGACTACGAGCGTGCTGCAGGAGATGGTCAGAGACTACGAGCGTGCTGCAGGAGGTCAGAGACTACGAGCGTGCTGCAGGAGGTCAGAGAATACAAGCGTGTTGCAGGAGATGGTCAGAGACTACGAGCATGCTGCAGGAGGTCAGAGAATACGAGCGTGCTGCAGGAGATGGTCAGAGACTACGAGCGTGCTGCAGGAGATGGTCAGAGACTACGAGCGTGCTGCAGGAGGTCAGAGACTACGAGCGTGCTGCAGGAGGTCAGAGAATACGAGCGTGCTGCAGGAGATGGTCAGAGACTACGAGCGTGCTGCAGGAGGTCAGAGACTACGAGCGTGCTGCAGGAGGTCAGAGTATACGAGCGTGCTGCAGGAGAAGGTCAGAGACTACAAGCATGCTGCAGGAGGTCAGAGACTACGAGCGTGCTGCAGTAGATGGTCAGAGACTACGAGCGTGCTGCAGGAGGTCAGAGACTACGAGCGTGCTGCAGGAGATGGTCAGAGACTACGAGCGTGCTGCAGGAGGTCAGAGAGACTACGAGCGTGCTGCAGGAGGTCAGAGAATACAAGCGTGTTGCAGGAGATGGTCAGAGACTACGAGCGTGCTGCAGGAGGTCAGAGACTACGAGCGTGCTGCAGGAGGTCAGAGAATACGAGCGTGCTGCAGGAGATGGTCAGAGACTACGAGCGTGCTGCAGGAGGTCAGAGACTACGAGCGTGCTGCAGGAGGTCAGAGACTACGAGTATGCTGCAGGAGGTCAGAGAATACGAGCGTGCTGCAGGAGAGGGTCAGAGACTACGAGCGTACTGCGGGAGATGGTCAGAGACTACGAGCGTGCTGCAGGAGAGGGTCAGAGACTACGAGCGTGCTGCGGGAGATGGTCAGAGACTATAGGCATGCTGGAGATGGTTAATGACTACAAGCATGGTGATCAGATCTACTGAGACATAGAGGCAGAGTGGATCCTGAGATCTGAAGGGGGGGATCGGGAAGTTCTCATATTACATTTTGGGAAATCTAAAGCTGATTGAACAGCCGGATTGTATGGTGTGTGGTGAGCCCGGTGTCTGCGGCCGGATTGAAACAGCAGTGATGAGAAGGAAATGAGATCAGATCCTATTATAAAGGATCCAATCAGAGTGGATCACTTGTATGCTATTAGCTTCTGTCAAGGGATCCCTCATCTTATATCAGCTTCTGTTAGTGGATCCCTCATATCAGCATCTGTCAATGGATCCCTCATTTTATATAAATTTCTGTCAGTGGATCCCTCATCTGAAATCAGCTTCTGACAGAAATTTATATAAGATGAGGGATCCATTGACAGATGTTGATATAAGAGATCCACTAACAGAAGCGATCAGGTGAGGGATCCACTGATAGAAGCTAATCACATGAGGGATCCACTGACAGAAGTTGATGCCCGATTAGGGATCTGCTGACACAAGATGATAGAATACAAGGGATCCACTGACAGAAGCGATCAGGTGAGGGATCAACTGATAGAAGCTAATCACATGAGGGATCCACTGACAGAAGTTGATGCCAGATTAGGGATCTGCTGACACAAGATGATAGAATACAAGGGATCCACTGACAGATGCTGATCTGAGGGATCCACTGTCTGCAACTGATATGAGGGATCCACTGCCAGATGAAGATAGGAATGATCCACTGACAGACAGGTATAGCACATAAAGGATCTACTGATAAGCTGCAAGCAGACCACATGTGGGGATCCACTGACTGACACTGAGCAGATGTAGAACCCGATTGTACAAAGGATCCCCTTCCAGATTGAAGATCAGGCCAGGGATCATGATGGATCCACTGCAAATGTCTGAGTAGAGCTAGGACCGGGTCACAGGAGGGATCCACTGACAGAAGCCAAGCAGGATTACAATCCGATCTCTAAGGGATCCGGTGGGATGGTGAGCTGAGGGGGGATCCGGTGGGATGGTGAGGTGAGGAGGGATCGGGTGGGATGGTGAGGTGAGGAGGGATCGGGGTGGGATGGTGAGGTGAGGGGGGATCCGGTGGGGTGAGGAGGGATCCGTGGGGGTGAGGAGGGATCCGGTGGGATGGTGAGGAGGGATTGGGTGGGATGGTGAGGAGGGATCCGGTGGGGTGAGGAGTGATCGGGTGGGATGGTGAGGAGTGATCGGGTGGGATGGTGAGATGTGAGGAGGGATCCGGTGGGGTGAGGAGAGATCCGGTGGGATGGTGAGGTGAGGGGGGATCCGATGAGGAGTGATCGGGTGGGATGGTGAGGAGTGATCGGGTGGGATGGTGAGGTGAGGAGGGATCCGGTGGATGGTGAGCTGAGGGGGGATCCGATGAGGGGGGATCGGGTGGGATGTTGAGGTGAGGAGGGATCCTCGGACAGAGTTGGGTCGGTTGAGGGGGGATCCGGCAGACACATGGGAGGATGATCGGAGGGGGAGGGGAGCGGTACTCACCCACTCGGCCAGCAGGAGTTGCCCCTTGCGGGATGCGATGAAGTCCCTCCCGGGGATGAGGGCTCGGAGGGCGGCTCGGGGGGGCTCGGTCTCGGGGTCCCCCATGCTCTCTCCTCGGTCGGAGCGGAAATGGTGACAATACGGAAACGTTCGCTGAGGATGAAGTGTGAATGTGGCGGCAGCATTAACTCCTCCGCCGCCGCAGCCCGCTTCCTGCCCCCGGGTCACGTCCGTCCCTTCACCACCCCCCCGCCCCGGCACACAGGGGGCAGGAATGTCGGTGCTCAGGCTGTCCTCGGTGGTGAAGGGGTTCATGTCCGCGCCTCATTCGGTGTACATTGTGTCCGTTCTATGGGGGAGACCCCCGAATGTCGGATATAACGGGGATCGGTCATCGCAGACTTGTCATTGGCTCCGTCTTTCGTTATCCTCGGTTCACAGCTAGGCGTTTTGCAGGAAGGCAGTACAATCCATGTACAGCTCGGTCACACGATGCGATTTGGCATGCGATCTGCATTTCATCCGACTTGCAAATCGCATGTCAAGTCGCACCCTTTTGTCCGCAATTACATCACTCATATCAGTTCGGTTCTGAGTTGGTCGGAACCGCACAAAGTTCGAAAGCAGTACATGCGCTACTTTTGGTGCGATTTGCATAGACATCTGTGTCATATATCTTGCTAATCGCACCTGAAATCGACAGGTCACCGACTTTGAATCCTGCAACCACCCCCCGTCACATCAGGTGCAACTTGGCATGCGATGTACATGCTATGCGACTTACAAATCACATGCCAAGTCGCACCCTATTGTTGGCAATTACAGCGGTCATATCGGCGCGGTTCCAACCTGGTCAGACACCGATTTCTAAAGCAGTACATACACTACTTTTGGTGCGATTTGCATAGAGATCTGTGTCAGACATCTTGCAAATCGCACCTGAAATCGGCATGCCACCCCGACTGTGAGCCGGGGTTCACACTGATGTGGTGCAAAATTTGCAGCGGTTTTTGTGCGATTTCCACACCGCATCATAATCGCACCCAGGGGTGGACTGACAACTCATGGGGCCCCCGGGCAATAGGGGACCATGGGGCCCCTGTGCTCTTGAGCAAACTCATAAAAGCCTATTGAAGAGGTACCAGGGGCATCTCATGGGGCCCCCTACTGACCCCGGGCCCTCGGGCAGTGCCTGAGTTTCCAAATGGTCAGTCCGCCGCTGATCGCACCCCCATTCACAGGAACCATTGCGGGGGGGGGGGGGGGGTGTATTTTAAGTTAACGACACCCTGAAATCAGTTCACAAAATGCGGTCTGATGTGCAGAATAGGATCGCATGGGTCTGAACACCAATTCTAGTGCAGACCAAAAAAAAGGGTCCTGCACCTTTTTGGTGCGATTTCAGCCATGCAAAATGTATGCCTCAAATCGCACCACACAGAATTCGCATATGATTTGCGCAGGAATGCGGTTCCTGTACGAATCACACTCAGTATGCTGCACCGTACAAGTGTGAACCCAGGCGCAAATCCTGCAACTTCACTGTAAGTCCCTAGTCACATCGGATGCGACTTGCAAATCGCATGTCACATCACACCCTATTGTCCGCAATTACAGCGCTCATATCGGTACTTTTGGAGCAATATGCATAGAGAGTTCTGTGTCAGATGTTTTGCAAATCGCACCTGAAATCAGCAAGTCATCCGACTTTGAATCCTGCAACTTCACTGTAAGTCCCCAGTCACATTGTGTGCAACTTGGCATGCGATTTGAATGCTATGCGACTTACAAATCGCATGCCAAGTTTGCACCCTATTCTCCGCATTTACAACGGACATATCGGTGCGTTTCCAACTTGGTCACTGACACGATTTCTAAAGTAGTTCATGTGCTACTTTTGGTGCGATCTGCAGACATCTGTGTCCTATATCTTGCAAATCGCACCTGATATGATATCGGTTGGCATGTCACCCGACTTTGAACCCAGGTTCACATTGATGCAGTGCAAAATTTGCAGCGGTTTCTGTGCGATTTCTGCACAGCATCATAATCGCACCCCGTTTACATGAACCATTGTGGGTGTGTATTTTAAGTTAACACCCCGAAATCAGTTCGCAAAATGCGGTGCGATGTGCAGAATTGGATCGCATGGGTCTGAAAACCAATTCTAGTGCGGACCAAAAAAAGGGTCCTGCACCTTTTTGGTGCGATTTGAGCCATACAAAATGTACAGCTCAAATCGCACCGCACAGAATTCACATGTGATTTGTGCAGGGGTGCGGTTCCTGTGCAAATCACATGCGGTAGGCTGCACCGCACAAGTGTGAACCCAGGCTGAAATCGTGAAACTTCACTGTAAGACCCCAGTCACATCGGGTGCGACCTGGCATGCGATATGCATGCTATGCGACTTGAAAATCGCATGCCAAGTTGCACCCTATTCTCCGCATTTACAACGGATATATCAGTGCGATTCCGACTTGCATGCTATGCGACTTGACAATCGCATGCCAAGTTGCACCCTATTCTCCGCATTTACAACGGATATATCAGTGCGATTCCAATCTCTAAAGTAGTACATGCTCTACTTTTGGTGCGATTTGCATAGACATCTGTGTTAGATGTCTTACAAATCGCACCTGATATTGGCATGTCATCCGACTTTGGGCCCGGGTTCACACTATTGCGGCGCAAAATTTGCAGCGATTTCTGCACCGCATCACAATCGCACCCCGTTCACACACGAACCATTGCGGGGGGGGGGTGTATTTTTTTAGTTAACACCCCGAAATCAGTCCGCAAAATGCGGTGCGATGTGCAGAATCGGATCGCATGGCTCCGAACACCCATGTGATCCGATTCTAGTGCGGACCAAAAAAAAGGGTCCTGCACCTTTTTGGTGTGAATGTGGTGTGATTTGAGCCATACAAAATGTATGGTTCAAATCGCACCGCACAGAATTCACATGTGATTTGCATAGACATCTATGTCACCTGAAATCGGCAGGTCTCCCGTCTTTGAAATCGTGCGACTTCACTGTAAGTTGCACGATTTCAAAGTCAGGCTTGATGTGACCGGGGTGTTAACATGGTATCCTACGAGACAGGTTCACATCTCTGCATTTTCACCTGCTGCGTTTTTTGGAAAGGGTCAAGGACTTTTCTGAACGCAAAATGTTGCATTTTTGGTTCTATAGATTTCAATGGGAATGCTGCAGCGGAAAAGCATGGATTGCTTTTTTGCTGCGTTTTTATGCAATTTTGCGTTTAAAATCTGCCTAGCAACAAGAAAGAAAAAAAATGAACCCCCCCCCCCCCGAAAACCGCAATGCAGAAAAGCATCAAACACAACCTGCATAAGTGTGAACCTAGACTAATGCAGGCCATAGATGGGTTGAAAATCGGCCGATTTTTGCACCGTTAATGGGTTAAATTTTTTTGATCGGTAAAGTTGGGGAAAAAAATCGGCCGATCTTTTTACCGTTAAAAAAATCTGCGCATGAGCCGTGACCTGCAAGAAAAAGAAGAAGAAGGAGAAGAAGAGGAAGGAGAAGAAGAGAAAGAAGAGGAAGAAGAGAAGAAGGAAGAGGAGAAGAAGAGGAAGAAGAGAAAGAAGAGAAGAGAAGAAGAGGAGGAAGAAGAGGAAGAAGAAAAGAAGAGGAGGAAGAGAAAGAAGAGAAGGAAGAGAAAGAAGAGGAGGAAAAAGAGGAGAAAGAAGAGAGGAGGAAGAGAAGAAGAGGAGGAAGAGAAGAAGAGGAGGAAGAAGAAAGAAGAGGAGGAAAAAGAGAAAAGAAGAGAGGAGGAAGAGAAAGAAGAGGAGGAAGAAGAAGAAGAGGAGGAAGAGGAAGAAGAGGAGGAAGAGAAAGAAGAGAGGAAGAAGAGGAAAGAAGAGGAGGAAGAAGAGAAAGAAGAAGAGAAAGAAGAGAAAGAGAAAGAAGAAGAGAAGAGGAGAAGAAGAGAAAGAAGGAGGAGGAAGAAGAGAAAGAAGAGGAGGAAGAGAAAGAAGAGGAGGAAGAAGAGAAGAAGAGAAAGAAGAAGGAGGAAGAAGAAGAGAAAGAAGAGGAGGAAGAGAAAGAAGAGGAGGAAGAAGAGGAAGAAGAGGAGGAAGAGAAAGAAGAGGAGGAAGAAGAGAGGAGGAAGAAGAGGAGGAAGAAGAAGAAGAGGAGGAAGAAGAGAAAGAAGAGGAGGAAGAAGAAGAAGAAGAGGAGGAAGAAGAAGAGGAGGAAGAAGAGAAAGAAGAAGAGGAAGAAGAGAAAGAAGAGGAGGAAGAGAAAGAAGAGGAGGAAGAAGAGGAATAAGAGAAAGAAGAGGAAGCAAGGAGGAAGAGAAAGAAGAGGAGGAAGAAGAGAAAGAAGAGAGAGGAAGAAGAGAAAGAAGAGGAGGGAGAAAGAAAGAGAGGAGGAAGAAGAGAAGGAAGAAGAGGAGGAAGAAGAGAAAGAAGAGGAGGAAGAGAAAGAAGAGGAGGAAGAAGAGAAAGAAGAGAGGAAGGAGGAGGAGAAGAAGAAGAGAGAGAAAAGAGAGAAGAAGAGGAAGAAGAGAAAAGAAGAAGAGGAAGAAGAGAAAGAAGAGGAAGAAGAATGAAGAGGAAGAAGAGAATGAAGAGGAAGAAGAGGAGGAAGAGAAGAAGAAGAGGAGGAGGAGGAAGAAGAAGAGAAAGAAGAGGACGAAGAAGAGAAAGAAGAGGAAGAGAAAAGAAGAGGAAGAATATATTTGACATTAAAAAGTATTGTGGTTGCAACATTGTATCCATTTGTATCCGAAAAAACATCTGTATCCGAAATGGATACAAATAGATACAAAGTTGCAACTGCAATACTTTTTAATGTCAAATATAATAGCGGAGCTCTCTGCAGGGACAGAAGTAATTAAATGCCGGCCGTAGACGGGACGAAAATCGGACAATTTTTGCACCGTTAATGGGTTAATTGGTCGGCCGGTTTTCTGGATTTTGTCATCGGTAAAGTTGGGGAAAAAAATCGGCCGATCTTTTTACCGATAAAAAAAATCTGCGCATGAGCCGTGACCTGCAAGAAAAGAAGAAGAAGAAGGAGAAGAAGAGGAAGGAGAAGAAGAGAAAGAAGAGGAAGAAGAAGAGGAAGAAGAGGAAGAAGAAGAAGGAAGAAGAGGAGGAAGAAGAGAAAGAAGAGAGGAAGAGAAAGAAGAGGAGGAAGA